TTTAGACTGCAACGTATTTATAAGCAAACCAATGCTAATTTCTTTTATAAATGACTATTTAATTACTGTACAAAGTAATGGACTATTTTGAATCTAAAGATGGGCTCGTTTCAGAGATTATCAATGTCTAAATGCCATTTAACATCCACCAAGACTTACATTTGGTGAAATATGTAACAAAAAGACTAGCTAGAAAAGACTGAAATAGAAACAACATCAATTGCTGTGTGGAACGGTGGCGTGCAAAAATGAATGCAATGACCAAATCTGATGTATAAATTCGAATTAGAAAATATTTCGGATCCAGCTACACTGTTTATTCTGTTCCTAAACACAACAAAAGTCAGTCTGATGGACAGATAAGACAGCAGCTGCAGAGTTTACCATCCAGCAAACAAGACACGCTCTTAACCTTTTACATACAGATTTGTGCAATCACTCATCGCTTTGGTTTAGTGTATACTGCAGCGAGAGGATAGGATGTAGGAAAAAAATGTCCTGGTCTTGTCTCTGTCTCCATCTTCACTTGTAATGCTTCAGTTACAAATATCTCTGCCTCATCCTTGGTTCCATCCAACTCTCTCTCTCTCTCTCTCTCCCTCTCTCCGTCTGTCTTCCTGCCCCTCTCGTGTCGTGCATTTCCGAGAGTCAGTGTACTCTAAACAGTTATGTTCTTGTTTCCTATGGTTATAATCTCCGCTGACGTGCTGGAGTCCCATTTCCTTTTTCAGCTCTGCGTGCACAGTACCAGCGCAGCCGTAATGTACAGAGTGTCCATGAAGCATGCACGCAAAGGCAGCGCAGACATTGTGCAGACCTCGGCTTTAACACATGCATTACATTCAGTATTATGTATCATAATTGTGATTTAGGTCTGGAATGAAAGCATACAAGTAGAGATGAATCGTGCTGCCGCGGTTTCTCATGCAATCATTTACTGTATATGAAGAAAAAATGCTATGTGAACAAGAATGGCCACACTGTAGTAAGCATAACTCGGTAGTATGTTCAGAGTATAATTAATAGATTTCTTGAGAGGGTGATACAGTTGCTGTCCAGGAGGCTCAACGTGTGGGATAAAACTAACAAGGACAGAGCAGTGGTGCTACAATACATGTTTTATAAATGTATAAGTTGATAAACAGAGTATTTATTAAAGGCCTATAAAACATATTCACTTAATCAACCTCCTAATATCACTATAAAATCATGTTGTGGTTTTGATTATTTTATTTGAGACATTTTCTGTATTCTGCTATTACACAAATGTCAGTGGCCCAATCAGAATTTAGCAAGATCTGAGATGATACTGTCAATTAAATCTGAGCTAACGACATTAACAGAGTATTGATTTGGCCAAATGACTGGGATTTTGAGTTTTATATTTTTAATGAATAAGATTTAGGATGTATTTTTTAAGATGATTTAGTAAGTAATAGTCTGTTTTATAGTGATAACAACATTTGAAACCAAATTTAAGATGCTTTAAATACACATTTAAATTGTATCAATTAATTGTTAAATCACATTAGATGTATATTTAGTGACATCGCACCCTGAACTAAGATAGCAAAAGTAGTATAAATAATTGACAGGATAATATGTAAGGTGTATGTATACAATGAATATACTGTAGTGTTGCTCTGCACTCACTCTGTTCATGCACAACTTACAATGGTGTATATGTAATAGTGATATCCTATAAAGAAGAGGCTATAACATTTATGAAAAGAGAAGAGAGCACAAAGGAAAACCGTCCTCTGTATATTGTGAGACACCATTTCCCACCATCTTTTGTATCATTAGTGGATAACAAGTACAAAGAAATTCTAACAGTGAACGTTCTGCTCCGGCTTCTTTCCCTCAATAGTGCGCTAGCGAAATGACATAGCACAAGATAAAATAGTAATGCTAATATCAATAGTTTGTCCATTACAGGTCAGCTAACTGTCCAGCGGAACAGTTACAAAGCTGTTCCTTTTCGATCTCACAAGGCCGATCAATACGGGGGCATACTGTTTCAATTTTGCCGGCATTGATTTTCTCTATAACACTCCAACCCTAAAGCATTCGTCTTTCTGAAGGAAGGAAGATTTGATTTACTGAAGAAAAATTGGAGTGCACATCACAAAGATTTTTTGCCGGGCGGGAGTGTGACATCCCGAAAGATGGATGTCCCTTGGCTGGGAAGCCTCTAGCCTAAGGGCGTCCATTAGAGCAGTGGTGCTGCAGAAAATGAGCTGCTTATATGAGGGAGGAGGAGCAGAGGGAGAGGAGTTGGTGCTCGAGGTGTGTGTGTGTGAGTGTGTGTTTGGGGGGGGGGGGGGGGGGACTAGCTGGAGGTGAGGATTGTTGGAATAAAAAGGATGCTGATGCAGGCTTAAAAAGGCAAGAGTAAGACAAAGTAGGAGAACAGCAAATTCCAGGGAGTATACCTAAACCTCTGCATCTTGAATATTGTTTCCATTTGCCTCAAACTGACTGACTGCATCAGTAGATTGTCAACAACAGAGTGAACACACTGCTTCTACATCCCATTTCAACCTTTTCTTAGCTGCAGCCACCTTGCTGTTAACTTCCCCGCTTCCTACACCCAGAGTGAATTTCCATGGTACATTAGTCAGCCTATTAGAATGCAATAAAGAGAAGGTATGAGAGGGGGAAAAAAGAGGAGAGTAGTGCGGGTCCCCAGAGACCGTGAGTTGGCGTTCTCCATCATCTGCCCTCATCTCCGCTCGCTGTCCGTCGACTTTGTCTAGGTGTCATATACATGAAAGATGATTCCTGACCCAAATAAACACTGCAGCGCTCTGGATGCTCGGTGGACCCAAGCTCAGAGAAAAAGGAGGGGGGGGGGGGGGGGGGGGGGGGGGGGAAACTGGAGAGGTGAGGAGAGAAAAAAATGACAACTGCCAGCGGTTTCATTTGTGGATATCTTGCTAGCTGTTCTCCCTTAAAAAGACAGCAGGCTGGCATGTTGTACACCTGGGTCTCGAGGCACTGGGACAGAATAGTATGGATGAACAGGTAGTCGCCCTATCCGTCTGACTGTAGATCTGTCTATGTTTTGACACAAGATGACAGACAAGGGCACAAAAAAAAGATAGATACTGCCACTGTCTGGTGAAAGGAATCCTCCCTGGACGCTCGTTGATACAACTGAAGGAGATAGTGAAACAAAAAAGAGCAAAGGACAAGGAGTGGGAGAAGAGGAGAGAAGAAAGTGTATGTTGTTACATTGAGAAAGGAAGAGAGAGAGAACCACAGACAAAGCAGGGAATGGAAAAGGGAAAATCACCTAACACCTCTTTCCTCCAGGGGCCGGGGCGGCTGTAAGCTGGATATTAAGACACAAATTGCATTCAGGCGGGTCACACTATGTCAGAAGATATTAGATGCCTGCCGTGAGGAAACAACAATTCCCATCAGCTTGTGAGAAAATAATATTTTCATTTTCAGACTCTTTATTGAATGGAAACTTTGGGGAATACGTTTTTATGGCGTGTGAGCAGCCAGGCTTGGATTTTACACCCGAGCAACAAAAGGTCGTAATCATAGCTGCGTATTGTCTTTGTGTTCCTGGATTTCATTTTCACAGCTTGAAAAAGGTTGTGGGTTTCATCCGTCCTTCCCTTCCCGACTGTATTTACACGCTGGGATGGTGCTGCATCACATGTTTAGTTGTTGTATGGAATAAGGGAACCAACATCTCTTGTATTAGGAAAGACTGCATGCTTGCAGGTGTACTTACAGTACAAGTCTTTTTTTCTGTGTGCATTTTTTCCTTTTCCTTGTTCTTTTTCTGGGTTTTGCAGTGCCAGATGTTTCTCCAGTGCCCGCATACCAGGGGCCCTGGTGCGAAGCTGCACCACCTGACCTTCACAGTAATTGACCAAAAATATTGATGTAATGGCACAGGACTGATTGTGATTTATTAAAAGAGCGCTGCACTCCAAGGCCCAGTGCCAATGGCTCCCTGCGCCCATCGGCAGCCATTAGGAAAACCATCAATAGTGCAACGGCATAAAGGGCTGGTAATGGGGGACTTTTCTGGCCGGGGCTCGTAGAACACAATCTCCATAGTAAATAGCTTTGTGCGAGTACACATGGAGTCCAACAGAAAAAGAGAAATAGTGAGAGAAGCATTGGGAGAGAGATGGGATCAAGGAGAAAAGAAATATGACAAATAATGCACTGCATCCTGATTCAATAGAAAGGAAAACAAAGGCAGCCAGAGAGAGAGTCTTGATCCAACAGCAAGCTAACCCTCGCCAGACGAGTCTCTGGAGAGTTGGTTCAGCCTAACAAGCACGAGCCAGCGGCCGCCTCTCCGGCTCACCATTACACACTACCTGCACAAACAGCCATCATTAGGGAATAGCTGCATTGGATTCTGCTGCCTATTTGGCGAAACAAACACGGAGGATAGGGTTCCCTCTGTTCTTAATGGCTTTCATCTCTCTCGAAAGTCAATGCATCATTCAACCCACAGCTGACATTTTCACCTTTGCAAATCTAATTTAATCAAAGCCATGAGTATTGGGGGGATGAGAAAGATTATGATGAGATTAAAACCATTACAGGGCTTTGAATAATTTTCAAGGATGAGAAACTGACATGCTACGAACACTGTGCATAACAAAACAAAACAGGTGCATCCTCTTGATTAAAGGCTCGTCTATACCATGAGAAGTTATTGTCTCGCTAAACTATCCAGGCATGTGGGTAACAAACACAACTGTGGCATCATATACATTTAACGGATCGTTTGTCATTTTGAAATGAACAAAAAGAACACGGGCGAAAAACTGCCGTGTACAAAACACACAATGTAAACAAAAACCTCAACAGCACCTCAGAAATGTTCCCCAAATTGAGATAGGTTACAAAAATATTGTACATAGTAAAGTTTGATGTGTCTTTACACTAAAATGTACTTAAAAATGTAAAAATAAGTCCGGAATTAATTAATTTGTCTTGTTTTTAGACTTTGGTTTTACCTTTTGGCCGAGCTTCCCCAGGCTCCGTGTTTGTCGGTCAGGATGTTGACTATCTTCTGGACGAGCTGCGTGGCGGTCACATGGTCGCGGTACTTGGCTGCTCGGATCAGGTGGTCGCACATTTTCTCCTCATCTCGCTTCTCCGCTGCGTACTGCGCACAGTTCGACTGCAAAAGAAAGAGAAAAGATGCATTAAACATATATTCTGGAAGAGAAGGCCTCTTGAGTGAATTATACAACATATAAAATGATAATTTGTGTTAGTATCTTATAGGACATATATGGGAAAAACATGTTTAGAAGATACAGTTTCACATATAGAAACTCTGAGTCGAACCAAATGAAAAGCATAGGGTCATTTCTGTCCTCATGTCATGTTGATTAATAACAGTGGACACGCATTTACTAATGCCCTCCGGCACACCAAATCACACGATACCCACAATGCACAGGGAGGACATTTTTCTCTGTCGGAATTTGTTATCAGAATGGGCCTTTGAACTCTGCAGCGATGGGAAAAGTAAAACACCTCCTGAAAATAACAGCTATAATTTGTTTGTAATGTGTTTTGATTTCCAATCTCTGTTTCAGAATCAATTTCAATCTCCTCTTGCACTCATGGCTCACTTTCAAAGTGTTGTTTCAAAGAGATATTCTTACTGAAAGTCAGCGTTAGTAGAGGGCCAGGGTGTGAAAAACATGTGCTATGTATAGTGCTGCTCGCCTTATAGATCATCAGGCTCAGAGTGGTGCGTTTATATTTCCTCTGCATCTTGTCAGACGGGGAACTAAAGCAAAAGGCAGCAGTATGACGAACAAAAGCTCATTCAATTGTTAATGCTACTTCGGTTATATATTACTGTCCTTATCAAATTAACCTTAAATTAAGCCATTGGTATAAACCCAGATACATGGCCTAACAAATGAAACCTGCTCTCCCAAAGTTACCAGTAAAGCGCTTTATAATGGGTCATCCTCTTCAATTTGAACGACAACATTTCATATCTGACAGAAAATCTATAGGTATAAATCAAATTAGAGGGGCTTTTCTGCAGGCTGCTGGGCCTTAATTATCAATCTATGTCTCTTTGTGTGGCATCAAAGTGGGCCTTGACCTTTCAGCATGATGACCCGGGAAATCGCAACAAAAAAGGGAGTACGGAAAAGGAATTTTCAAGTAAGTGTTTCAAAAGAAAATGCTGGGCTGTGCCTCTGCGTGCGTGCGTGTGCGTGTGTGTTTGTGTCCATTAATCTTGATCAGTGGCAGCTGAAGGCAAGCAGGAATTGGGACAAGCAAAAAGCTGGACCAAAGGAAGGGACCAGGAGGATGGTTTCAATTCAAGTGGCGTTCAGCATCACATCTTTGCATTAGACCCTGTATGATATACCTATTCCAGAAAGAAATATTTTATTCTGGGACAATAGAGAGACACTTTAAAGATCATACATCTTAAAAAAAATGTAAGGGTAGGAAGGGTAAGTTGCATTCCTATAAAGTCAATTTCCATCTGCCCCCGTCAGAGACATGTAAAGTCTGCAGTACTAATCAACAGTGCCGGGTTCGAGCTCATAACCATAAACAAACACTTCATCACCTGTGTGTTGAGCCTGCCCAAACACCCCGGCCCTCCATGCTGTAATGGGACTTTCTCATATCCCAAGCCAAAGACGACTACAGCAGAAAAGGCCAAATTCACAGGCTCAACCCTAAAATAACAACCAGCAAAGCTGAACACATCAGGAGTGCCATTAAAACCCAATGTTGGGCCTGCCTGTAAGTGGAAAAGACAAGTCACTGTTAATGCTCGGGGTCATTCCGTTGATGTGAAGTCAGAGGATAGGCCAGGGTATTATGAAGGACTTATTATGTTTTGTTATTACGAAGGTTAAGGCGAATATCCAAATCTCCCATCTGTCTGACAGGATAAAAGGGCAGAAAGTAAAAAGGAGCTTTTTGGCTGTTTTCAAACAAACTGTTCTTTATTTTCTGTCAAGGAATGCTGAGAGAACATAAGAAGTAAATTAAAAGTATCTGCTCCTATTTGGAATGAGAACCATGCCTCTTTTGGAGTGACTGAAGCTGCCAGTGTGCATATTTTGACAAGAAAACAACCCTAAAAACACCCACTCAGAGACAAACACCTCCATTTAGCAAGTTAAAAGAGTGCAGCTGAAGGCACGGCAGGATATATGCCTCTGTTAAATTCACACCCAGACAGCCACCAGGGCTTGCTGGCAGTGAGACCGTTATGACTTGCGACACTGTAATCATGGGCAGCACCTTCCATTACATGTCCTGGCTGACAGGGTCGCCTGGCTCTGCCGGAGGAGACAGCTTGGTGAAGACCAAATGATAATGGCTGGCATTAATCGAGTCAATTACACTGAGCCGTGTCGCCTACAATTCTTCAACAGTTCAAAAAAAAATAACTATGGATGTGTGTTGGAGTTTGGGGAGAAAATGGTCTGCTTGGGGAAGTGGAAAAAACAGTAATCGCCTCAAAAATCTCATAATGGCACGTACAAAGACAAAGCTTTGAAACGCATGCATCGTAATCACATTACTGAAGCTCTTTTTGAGCCAGCGAATAAAAACACTCGCTGGGTTTTTGTTGCCTAAATTGTTGTTGTGGTTCACATCGCCACTGGCTCATGTTTCTACAAATAATAAGCAGGGGAAACCAGGAGAGGAGTTTCACAGTGGTGTTGTAGCAGTGTCAGCCTTATCTAAATGCTGTAGTTGTTGTCAGATGAGGCCTCGGCTCCCCTCCTCCTCTCCCCCGCTGGGTTGAGAGGGTTAACCAGTATAATGGGCTGGAGAATGGAGTCTCATTACAAGATATCAGCCCTATGTTTATCAATTAGAGTGACAGAGAAAGGTCTGGTTGTGTGTTGCCGAGCCGCCTTTCAACACGGCGACTGACAAAACCAGGGTCTCGGGGTTCTGTCAGAGAACAGGAGGAAGAAACAAAACCGGCAGAGATGTTATTAAAGTGCAATCTCTTGACACTGGTGGCACATCAGGGCTACACACTCTCCGACGCTGGGCTATCGTTCTGCAAGAATCTTCAATTTCTCACATAACGTCGACAAGCACTCCCAGAGGGTTTCATTTACAAACGGGGCAGAGAAACTGTCCAGAGGAAGGCGAGACATCAGGCTTGTCCTTGTCTTGTATCAAAGAATGCAAATACACTACAAATAAATTCCTCCTGGAACACAATGGAGGTCTTCAGAGACAAGAGGATGAAATGAGAACGGAGGATGGGGGTCGCTAAACAAAAAGTACATGCCGAACCAGTCCACCAATTGGTTTCACAGAGATTCTCTTGCGCTTGATCTCTTGGCCTCGAGTTTTCAAATTGCAACATAAAATGTCACCAGGGGAATTCAGACAATGGCTAGGGAAGAAACGAGTGAAAGGAAGAGGAGGGGGAGAAAAATGAGGGCTTAAAAGTACAATGGCGAACAAAAGTCACCAAATGACAATGCCTGACAGCCACTTCAATTCTGAAATGATGCCCCTGTCATGCCGTGCTCCCAAGTATTGATTTTTTGTTCTTCTCTCGGAGCACAGGAGGGGGAAGAAATAATCTAATCCAGTTGAAACAGATCCGTGCTGCTGGCACCGTACCATTGCTAGCGGCCATCAAGGTTAACGCAGGCGCAACACTTATCAAAGTATCTCTCTTCCCCCTCCTTCACCCTGCCCCTCCCCTGTCTGTGGCTGATCTTTAATGGACTGGTCACCATGCTCGGCTGGCAGCCTCTTCATCTCTTCTACCCAGAAACCTCTCGTCTCAACAAATCGCGCCCTCCTCTCGCCACATCAGTCTACGTTGCTGCCATTTTTCTACAATGACTCCTGCTCAGCTCCAAGGTCATGCCACGTGAAAAATCATACTGTCGTCTTGGAGGTGAAAAATAGTCAAATGAAGAAAGGACGCGTCCCGATGATGAAAAATGCACGTCCTCTGGATTGGACGTTTCCTTAAAGCACGAATACAGGATAGTGGATTTGACCTCAGGCTGAATTTTAAAAAACACATTTCTTTGAACAATATGAAATTTAAGCAGCGAACAGACATTTTCTTCTAAATAACATTGGAGACAAAGTCACATAATAACAAGACAAACAGCCACATACTGTATATGGTCTGCTAAGCTCGAAATCCTTGTTTTTCAGAATGTTGAGCTCACCTTAACATAATAAAAAAACATGAGGACATTCTTCCACTGAATACTGAATAGAAGACTGTGAAATAAAGTCATATTTTGGAGGGTTAGCTGGTCAAACAAAAATGATGGGAGCTACGGAAAAGGTACCTTGGGACTTCATTACGCAGACAAGTCATAGACACTGAGACAACTGTTCCCCAACCATCTTCTGTAACCCACTTCTCTCTCAAGTGAGACAGCACATGTTGTACAGTTAAGAACAAATATCCTCTACCAAGAAGGTAAAGACGGCATTGTTCATAGATGCCTATTTGCTTTACATTTTGACAGTAATTATGATTTAAGAGAGCTAATACTATCCAGTCTTGATTCGTTTTTCTCTTACTGTATAAGACATTTCAAACCATATCTTAATGGTTTCCCCACAATGCGATCACAATCGTAGACATTTTCCTCTCGTTCTTTTGACAGCAGTTTTGCCGGACACACAGCCCAGTTGACATGCTACATTACACTTGCGACAACTACATGACAGCGAGCTACAGTTGGTGGCAGCTATCAGTCAGAGAGCTGTGAATGATGTGGTGTAAATAGCCTTTGGGAGTTGTGGTTCTCTGGCTATTCCTGCGCGTGTCTGAGTAACCGTAGATCAGCAGATGGCCTCTGTTTTCAGAATGAAAGTAATTCTCTAAAACAGGCTTGTATGGAATAAGAGAACTGCTCGGCCTGTAGGCTATATTTAAATTGGGATGTAACTTAAGCTCAGGCTTACTTAAAGGAGTACCTTACACACACAATTACCATCCGATAGAAATGTCTCACCCAGTGTTACCTTGAATTCTTAACACTTCTGGCAAGACTCCACAGTGAATTGAAAAAGGAGAAACGTATTGATGAATGGAAGTACATGGATGCCTCATTTAAGAGCCAACTGTATCAAATCGTTTTTATGTTGCTGATTCGCTTGCATTCATCCAGACTTTCCTCTATTTGTTGTATTCTTTGTTCACCTAGGGCTTATGCATGCAATAAACAGTTATATTGTATTCCAAAATTCAAGGTAACACGGGAAGAGTAACTGTTTTACAAATAACATTTTGTGTGGATGTAGTATCCCTTAAAAGCTATCACAGTGCATCCTCTCCCAGACTCTCTGTGATGCACACGCTTCCAGAGAGCGGTGCTATGATAATGCAACATAATGAGCATCAGCTCAATGTTAATGTCATTAACGTGGGAGCAGCACCAGATCGTTTTACAAGCTCAGCAGAGGGAAGACAATGACGCCAAGCACTAATTAGCTGCTATCGTCTGGCTTTCACAGGATCTCCTCAGACAGTCAATTCAATTACTCCATATAACAGCAGAAGATGAATCAAGGGGGGGGGTGTATATAAAAAAAAAAGGAAAAAGATTGAGCAGAAGGGAAGGGTAAGAAAGAATAGAAACGACTTGGGTCTTGCTCACTCTTCCCTATCTGGACCTTCTTATCTGCCCTTGTGCCCCTGAGCCCACCACATTTCATCCCTAATGAACAGCCCCATAAAAAGAAGGAGTTCGATTTCTCTCCCCTCCTTTCTATCTCTCGGGCTCCCCTCTCCTTCCTGCTCCTCTGAAAGATATCAGAGTCTATCATTTGCTGTGCTGGGCAGCAGCATCCGATCTGCAGATCTCCTTCACATTAAGGATCCTTTTAGATAGAGAACCCTAAAAGGTAATTGGATTCCACCCCCCCAGTTATCTTCATCTGTTTCACCCTAAGCCCACTGTAATAACTTACTCTCAGGGCCAGAGATAACTCAATTCTGTCCCACAGAGAGCCAGTGAGAGTGTGAGAGGGAAACAGAGAGAGAAGGCATATGTTATGCTGGGTATCTAAATCCTATATCACTGCCTTTCTAAAAGGATATCATCTGTGACAAGGAGCAAACATACATTTGTTTTTATGTATTGAATTATACTCTTTTCCGGTGCCTTGGTGTTGCTGCTGCTGTTAAACTGAAGCAGGACTTTTTAAAAGGCATAATAGTACAGTGAGGGACGATGCAGAATATGTGCTGGCAATTGTAACTGCATGACTGTGCAAACCTCCTCACTTCCAGTGTAACACAATGACAACATGTGTCATTTTGGAGGCCCCTTTTAAGGTTGATTTCTCACAAAACAATAACCAACCTTTGGTGTCACAGAAACACAATAGAGAGAAACAACGTTTAAAAAAAAAATGAAAAAAAGCTAGGACATAGCTGAAAATTATTTCAAAAACCCTCCAACCCCCACCCTCAGGGGGGATGTTTCATTGGCCTGTTATTTTTATTGTGGCAGTGCAAAATGAAACCGTTGGCTCTAGCAGCTAGAGCAGGGCTCGTATGGAGGCAAAAATCAATACAGCAATATCAGAGCAAGACTTATCAGGGCTTCACTTCTTTCAGAGGTCACAGAGGAGCAGCTGCATTTAAGTGGGGAATTCAATTGTGAAACATAGTTTGGGACGAGCTGGGCCGGGTATCTGATTAAGGACGGCTGGAAGATTGGAAAGGTAGAGAAGGTTTCCAATGACAACATGAAAAAAAAAACGAAACAAAAGTTATAGCTTTCCATTAGTTGTGTGTTAGCAGTCGATTGACTGACAGTTGTAACTTACAGAGCTGATCATTTGGAAATGTAACAACCTATGACTCTATTACACTTCACACAGTGTATGTAAGCCCCCAGTCTTTTATACACATTACAGCTATGACAGAAAACTGGTCAATGATGAGAGCCCAGAGTAGAACATACACTTTTATACCAAACATGGATCAAAGAATAATCATTTCATGTTTTCAAGCATGCTGGGATTTGGTCGAATAACTGTATGCTTGCTAAAGTCTTATGTGAAGCAAGGACTTGTATTTTAAGTCGGGTAATAAACTTATTCTTATGCCCAACCCTTGTTAGACATACATCTCAAATATTAGGGCTAACACGTTTTGGTTTTTAGTAACCTTTGTACATAAGATTCAGCTAAAATAAATATGGCAACACACACAGGCAGAGCTTATTATAACAAAACAAGCAAAACAATCAATCCAGTTTGGAACAGACAGGTTGTTGTGTGCAATGCCAAGCTACGACATGCCAGGTAAGGAATCAGTTACTTAAGCCTGGAACTTTTAGAAATGGAGGAGTGTGTGGCCTGCTGCCACAGCGAGGGGCCGGGCAGAGCAGAGATCATTCGGGGCAGAGTGGCTGCCAAGTCTGTCCGTCTGTCCGTTTGCCAGTCAGGCAACATACTCTGAGACATTTTTACTTGTGCTGCTCTTCTGTCAAATGAAGACAGATGCCTAACTTTGCATACTGTACATACTTTTTGCAAGAGGCCAAATACAACACACCTTTTCATAAAGGAGATATGCAGTATATAAAGAATCTGCTACATTAACCTAGTAGAATCAAAGCGTACTCCACCAGTCCATGTTGATCAATATAAAGCCATGTCAGATGGTACAGTTTGCGACGCTGACACTTGGAAAAGAGTGATAAACAGGGGTTCATGCGAACAGGATGTTGATAACAAAGAAAAGCAGCCTGTCCCAAAAGGGAGCAAAACATAGCAATCACAGACAAAACTTTGATGTTTAAGAGTTGTAACCCCCCCCCCCCCCCGATTGACTTTCAGCACTCTTGAGGGAATTTACTCTACCTGAATGTCAGAGAGACCCTTCATTGAACCTTAAAAAAAAAGCATCACATTTTACTGCGTAGTGGGAGCTGAGGGTTGGGGCGGTGGGTTTACACACAGTCAGCCCTTCAGGCCAGCACCTCTCAGGTCTGTCTGCGGATTTTAGTGCTGGCAGGTTCCTGAGAAATGAGCGAGGGAGGGATGGAAGAGAGGGGAGGATGCCATATTCCTGTCACTGGCAAAATACACCCCCAGCGGGAGTATAATGGACAGGATCTCAGCAGGACAGGAAATGATTTTGGTGAGATCTAGAAAGCAGAGCAGGGGGGAAGTTGGACTGGGAAAGGGGCAACTGAGGGTGCCCATGGGTCAGGATGGAGTTAGCCCGTCAGCTACATGTGAATGGTAACATTTGTGCTGTGAGAACTTTACGCAAGAGGGGGGGGAGAAGCTATGATTCAGGGGTAAGCCTGCCGTTAAACGGAGAGGCATAGGGATAAATTAACACTACACAATGTTTGGTTAGGGATATTTGTGCCAAGCTCAATCTCCAGCCTCAAAGTGCTTCAGTCAGTGTGTGCGCGCAAGTCTGGGAGTTTTTTGTGTGTGTTCACGATTAGCGGAGAGGTTATGTTTGAAAAGCAAACATTTACCCTCTAGGTTTGCTGTGACAGATCCTAAAACTTGATGGACACGTTTTGAGTAGGCATTGGATCAGCTCCACTTTGCTCTCACTGAATATTTTCATTAAATATATTCACTGACAAAGCATAGGAATATCAAACTTATAAATACTTCTATCAAAGGAGTCTTAGTTCAATGGGCCTACTGTATAGCTACGAATAAAGTTTTTTGTCAGAGTTTAGCAAGTTGAGGAAGCACAGGAGGAAATCTGAAAGTAGCTTACGACAAATTGTGCTTGGTTAACATTTTCTTTGACAGGAAAAGAAGTTTACTAGAATCCTTCACTAGTTTGACCTGGTAATCTTCCCTCTTTCTTTCTAGGCAACACATATAGTTAAAAACGGTCATCTATTTATAAATGTGTCTTTATAACCATCTGAACGTTGTAAAACATGTTAAGGACACTCTTCTATTGACAAATGCTGATCAGATTTGTCAACTCACTTCAGTAAATAATCTTTCATGTAAGCTTGCGAAAATGGTCTGCAAAATACACTTTTAATGCATATCTCCAAAAAAGACACACATTAAAAACAGCTTAATAAATGCAACACTTTCTGCTAAGTTTACTATTCGTTGTAGTTGTTTAAAAGGTTACAGATTTCAGATTTAAGTTGCAGAATATTATTTGTTTGTGTCATTAACATAAACAGCAGATTACAATCCAAAATCTTCCTCAAAAATATTTTTAATAGACCCTTATATTTATCCAAAGATGATTTACTTTGCTTTTCTAATATTAGGTCAATCGCCATTTTGTTCTCATGCTTGGGTGCCTGTGCATGAGTTGCCAGAGCTGTGGAGCATCTTACCTCAAACTCTGCATGTTTGTGAATGTCTTCAGCCCTCTGTCGGCTGAGGATGAATTCAGCTTCATTAGCCACACGAACCAGGTGGTCCTTCATGGTGTGACTCAGCAGCCTGTGGAGAGGGCAGATGGACGTCAGCACACTGGAATACTGTATAATAGATATATATACATTTTTTATTAGGTATATGAATGTACATTTTGCAGCAGTCATAGAGGGGGAAATGCCATACAGATGCTTAGCAACATCATAAAATATTGAGGTCAAAACATCTGTTTAAAACTGTGGTATCTGGTAAGAAGGAACAGCCATGTAATAGCCATAAAATGCTGAAAGAGAGCCGTGGAAAATAAGCAGAAAATCACATTTTAGAAGCAAAACCAAAGCAGAAAGATCCTTTAGCTGGGGTGCAGGTGCTAATTGACTTGTTAATGATATGCATCTGACACGAGGGAGGATCTCTGCCCATGTTGCTACATGTGTACCTCCCTCTTCTTATCAGTGGTAATGAAACATGCATGCCGTGTGTGTGTGTGTGTGTGTGTGTGTGTGTGTGTGTGTGTGTGTGTGTGTGTGTGTGTGTGTGTGTGTGTGTGTGTGTGTGTGTGTGTGTGTGTGTGTGTGTGTGTGTGTGTGTGTGTGTGTGTGTGCGTGAGGCGAAGAAACCTCTCTACAGCCCTTAAGGTCAGGACTGTGCAAAGTGGAACAATAACAGACTAGGGGCCAGAGAGCAGGGATGGGGGGGGGCTGGGACTGACTGTGTGGGGGGAGAAGGGGGGGGTTAGGGGCCAGGGGAGGACTGTAACCTAAGCCTGCTGTTTCAGCGCAGGGCAGCAGGGGAGCGGAGGTGCCGGGGCCTCTGCAGCCTCCATGGCCCTGTCGAGGCCCCGCTATCAATAACCGAGCCACTGCTTTATGGCTCTGCGCTTAACACTGTATATGGACAAAACAGACATCTCTGAAGACATTACGGAAACAAACTAGTAAAATATTTAGCAATAAGAAAATCTGCTGGCTTCCCCAAGTTTAATTCAATACTGATAGACACGTTTACCGCCACTTAGTACACCTTTTAATACCCGTTTGATGTCATCCTGGTCTCAATATGGAGAAAAAAACCAGAAGGGGAAGAAAATAGCCTATCGTTATTAATTAATATATTTTTTATGTCGCTTAGTCTGTGTTTTTTACAACACAATCAACTTCCTAGCTACTTTAGCCAGCAGTGACAGCTTTACGTCTAATGAAACATACCTGAACTATAAAATATTAGAACATGCCTCCTGTACACAAAATCCAGTGTCAAACTACTTGTAGTAAGACCACAGACTGTATAAATAACACAAAACCTAATTATGATGGACTTGCGTATAGAATAAAATCTGGATTTGATTAAGTAGGTAAAATGATGACCAGTTTAGAAGGGAATTTGATTTTCAACTAATCATGTTGTAATCATATTTAAATGACTGTTTGATTCCCACTAAGAATCAGACCAGACACACATTTGCATACACATGAAAGCACTTCCGTGACTCGCCCTGACTTGAGTTATGGCAGAATAAGCCACTTAAGTGAATTACAAATCCTTCCCTCTCATAGGACTACAGTGCATTGCTAGACTTATTAGCATTACTTTGCATTAGCCTCTGCCAATTCTTGAAAGCTGAGGATCAATAATGGAAAATGTGGCTCTCTGAATCTGAAATTGAGGAGTTATAAGACTAAGAGTTACTGATGTGGGAAGTCTTATTAGGAAGGAACAGAGAGGCTTATATGTTGGGATAATTGAAAACCAAGAATGTATTGACGAAAAACAAAAGACAGTGGCAGGCAGATGAGATGATTACAGGCAGATAAAGGCTCAACTAGAAAGGCATACACTGACAGAGGGACAGGAAGAAATCAGGAGCCATTTCCCAAGTGTCACAGAGAAACCAGCGATCAGAGCCCCTGTCACCTTTTACCTAACCTCTCTCCTTTTCCCTAATCCCTCGAGGATGAGCATGCATTGTATGGAGCCTTGAACTCAAGGATCTTCCATCCTCACCAGCCCCCACCCCGATCATTGATTGTCGTCCAGAATCTTGAACAGCCACCCTATCAGTGAGGCCTTGGGGATCTTTGGGGGCTGAGGGGCTGAGGGGCTGAGGTGTGATCCAGGAATGGTGAAATTGGAAAGTGGCTGATGGGTAGAGGTTGGATAGATAATGAAGAAGGAAGAAGTGTTTCTGCTGAGAGGACAGCGTTCAGCATATCGGAGTTACCCACCTGCCTTCGTTGACCAACTCGATGAAGGCGAGACCTGCATTCTTCTGGATGGAGTTCTGCCATTCCTGCAATTGGAAAAATACAATGTCAGGAACGGCACTGAAAAAACTTTACAGAGTTACAGATGGTACATTTTACACATGGTGCGGTTAATCACGTGACACACAGAATTATAAGTTTTCAAATAAATTCCAGACATATTTAATGCTAATGAATTCCTTCTAAAAAATGCAAAAACCTTTCTTTTTAAAGATAGCTGCAGATTTTATTGCTCCACCTCTCACTACTCTTTTTAACCTCTCCCTCAGCACAAACACAATTCCAAAACTGTGGAAGTCAGCGTATGTCCTGCCTCTACTAAAAGGTGGGGAGGCCACTTTATTAAATAATTATAGGCCCATCTCTAAATTATCAGTTCTGGCTAAGATTCTTGAACGCCTAGTGAGTGAGCAGGTTAAAGGTGTTTTTATGTGCAAATGACATCCTGTCTAAACATCAGTCAGGTTTCAGAAAGCAACATAGCACCATCACTGCCACAATGAAAGTGGTGAATGATGTGACGAGTATTTTAGATAATAAGCAGAGTTGTGCAGCCCTATTTATTGACCTTTCCAAAGCGTTTGACACCGTCGATCATCGCATCTTAAAGCAGAGGCTACTCAGTATTGGCTTATCCAGCCATGCAGTGGGGTGGTTTGTGAACTACCTCTCTGAAAGGTCCCAATGTGTTCATTTTGATGGGCTGTCTTCTGAGTGGTTAAACATTACTAATGGTGTTCCTCAAGGTTTTAGGTCCACTTTTATTCTCCATCTACATCAATAGTTTAGGTGAAAATGTCGATGGAGCAACCTTACATTTTTATGCGGACGATACCGTTATGTACTGTGCAGGTCCCTCGATTAAGGAGGCTGTTGTTGAATTGCAAGCTGTTTTTAACATTATTCAGACTCAGCTCTCTGAACTAAAGCTTCTTTTAAATGTTGATAAAACCAAGGTAATGCTCTTTTCAAAAGCTAAAAAGACTCCAGAGCCTGTTTTAGATATTGTAACTACGCAAGGAATAAAACTTGAAGTGGTTGCCTGTTACAAATACCTTGGTATCTGGCTTGATGACTGTCTCACTTTTAAACGTCATGTCAATAACCTGCTTAAAAAACTGAGGGTTAGGCTAGGTTTCTTCTACAGGAACAAGTCCTGTTTCTCGCTCGAGGCCAGGAAAAGGCTAGTCTCTGTGACCTTTTTACCTGTACTGGACTATGGTGATTTGATTTATATGAATGCAGCTGCCAATTGCCTGGTCAAGTTAGATGCTGCGTATCACAGTGCACTGAGATTTGTGACAAACTGTAAAGCATTAACCCATCACTGTACCCTGTATGCAAGGGCAGGTTTGCCTTCGCTAACTGTACGGAGGCTCAGTCACTGGTACATTTTTATATATAAAGCCATGTTAGGGAAACTTCCATCCTACATCTGCTCCCTGATCTCACGGCGAATTGTAAGTGGCTACTGCCTGAGATCGCATGCTGTGGTTTTATTAAATGTGCCAACTGCTAGGACTGTCTTAGGGAAGATAGCATTTAGATGTGCAGCTCCACTGTCCTGGAATAGTCTGCAATTGAAATGGAAACTGAGCAATCTGGTGCCACTAAATGTTTTTAAAGCTCGGTTGGATGCTACTGAATCGGAAGCTGTTGGTACCTGTTCATGTGGATAGTTATGTAAATTATAATCCCTGTAATGATGCTGTATGATGTCCTTTTTGTTGTTCTGTTTATGTTTTTATGTTTCATGTGGAACCTACATGAGCAGGTCTCCCTTGAAAAAGAGATCAATGATCTCAATGGGATACACCTGGATAAATAAAGGTTTGAAATGAAATGAAATGAAAAAATAAGTCAAGTTTCATCAGTTAAAATTACTTACTAACAATTATGTTTACCAACCAACAATCCAAAACCAACACATATTTAATATAAAACGATATCAAACTGAGAAAAGCAGCACATTTTAACATTTGAATGCTTAAACTGGGGAATGTTTGCATTTTTTTATTGTAAAAATGTATCTTTTCATTGATATTACTTATTTGTTCTGTTCTTGTAAAATCCTTTCTACTATTTGTAAATGGACCCCTGTTGAAACCTATTCTGGGGTATTATAAGCTATCGTGGTGACTCAGTGGTTTACGCTCTCCTTAAGCTTTCCTGCTACTACATGTCAAATGAAACATCATTTAAAAAGGCGTACTGACTGCTTCGGTCAGCACAGGCTACATAATCAGCTGGTGAAGTATTTGAAAGGAGTGAAAGAGCTGTGTTGAGAGTGCATTTATCAAACGTAAATACACAAATCTCCTCCTCTTTGACTAACGTTATGGTTCGAGGTGTCAGTCTAAACAATCCAACCACAGTCGAGTGCGACTTTAAATCCTCAATTTCGAAGGGACAACGAGGCAAGGAAAACTTAGCGGTCATCGTCTCTCATGTTCTGTTCAATATTTCAACACCTTCAACACAACCGTCAAAAGAATAATAAAGCAACAAGGTCATGGGGCCTGTCTGAACCTCACAGCGCTTTCCCCCCCTTCTTCCTCTCAGGGGAGATGGAGAAATATGCCCGAAAAACCTCAGATTAGAGACGTGAAATACCAAACTGCTCTCAAAGAAATCATTAAATCACAGGCATACGTGTCACCATACCTTCCACGTTATTTGTCTTTTATTAAAAAAAGTGTCATTTGTTCATAAGTGTGTAATAGAAAATTCAGTGGTGGTGAAAATAATCCTGATGTATTTTTTTACTCAACAAAGCACATTTTAATTGCGATAACAGTTTCATTGAGTTGCGAAACAACTATAAAGGGAAGGATACACAAGGCGTATGTGTATCCAAGCATTAACTTTTTAAACTCTGCTGTCATCATCTCTTGCGCTGATAGAGGAAGCTGTGTGTTTATGTAGCGACTGGCCTTTCAGTAAACTGAGAGCCCACAGGGACAAGGAGATCAGCGCTACAAGGAGGAAGGAAAGATCAATTTTCAAGAAGTTCCTAATACATAACCAAAGATATTTGTACTTATGTGGTGCTTTTCCATACCATAGAGTTGTTCCCTTTCAGCACAACAAACGTACAACCATCAGAACCAATCATGGATCAAGCCAAGAGAAACTAAACCTTTCGAAATGCCTGCGCACCATCACTCTGTACCCAACTGCACGTCATACAGACAACAACCTAACACTTAAGCTCAACTCAAAACTGCTTTTTGTCCTGAAGGTCCATATTGGCATTGACCGTGTTTACAATACATCCAAATAAAGAGGGCACAGAGGGAATAAAAGTCTGGGCTTGGGAGTGGAAACAGTGTGTTTTAGTTGAGAACTGGCAGAGGGTTTTGCGGCAGAGTTTTGCTTTAGAGGAAGTGTGTGAGAGCAGCCTTGGGGCCTTCTTGTTGAAGCATAGACTGTAGTTGAAGGACATTAAGCATGCGTGTTAGCCTGTGGCTGTGGTGATATTGTAGACCGGGCCAGAATGTGTGCTTTCTGGATTTCAAATAAACACCACAGGAAGTGAGGATGTAAATAGAGCTGTCCTTTCTGGAGCACCAGGAAATAAGTGACATTACATTTTGGTTTATGTGATTTCTTTACAATACTTGGGAATTTAGTGCAGGAGTCTTAGAATTCAATGCGAAACAAAAAGCTTCTTCAGCAGAAATAAAATGTTTATCGCAGAACTGCAGCTCGGAAAAGCTTCGGTTCTAAATTAGGTTTGACAAGCGATTTAGAGGCCATTGGCATTTTGTGGACACAGACAAAGGTGATAGCAAGACTAATGGTGTCATTACGGGCTAAAAAAAATGGCTCCTCTAGTTGAATTAAAAAAGTAATGACCCTGATCTGAGGGACGTCTCGAGACAAAAAGGAAACAGAGACAGGTCAGTGATAGAATATTGGATTTTGGCTGACCAGGTCAGCGGTGCCACAGCTTTTATGGTCGCAATAGGGGCCGTGACCACAGAGCTGCTGATGAGAGGATACAAGCAGCCATTTGTGACCTCTCACCTATAACCTGACCTCCTAACAGATGATAGGACTGAGAAAAAGGGCTGTCCCTTGATCCTGATCGGATTTTCAATGTTTAATATAGGTAGTAGGGGCTGTGTTTTGTTACCTTTTTCTTTTTTGTGTGCGAGGATGTGTGTGACTGAATGTATTCATGGAAATGTCTCAACCTGAAGTCAATAAGACAGCTCTGTTTGGTCTGTGTTCCACGGTGATGGCGTTGAGTCTAAACACACATGCCATGCACTTCCGTCATTACAGCTGATTATCCATAATCAACATCTAAATATACCACTACCCCTGGTGAGAAAACACAGACCTCCTGAGCAAAATGGCCTTTCAAAAATCAGGCTCGCCACAACACAAGGAAAATATTTTCCAACACTGAAGAAAGAAATGGCTCTGCTCGACCGAAATAATAAATAAATCGGTTGTGCTTTTAGGTGGCATCACTCATAATCACTGAGATTTGTTGATTCGAAAAGCTATGGGAATACAACTTTAGATGGGACGACAAACGCATAAATCATCAAATGTTGCATTGCAGCAGAAGCTGAATTAGGCTGAGAGCTTCTGATTTTCTCCTTTTTTTATATTAAAAAACCTCAAAGTTAAATAGAAGATTGATAACAAGGTGACGAGACAAGACTGCAAAAAGCCAAAGCAGATGGAAACAAACTGCATCTTTTTTAAATGTTTTATTAATTATGATAAGTTATTAATTGCTATAAAGTAAAGCTTCCGATGGCCATTAAGATATCAATGACATGCGCTGGCTTGAAATAAACCTTTGTGTGTTGACGAACATGAAAGATAAATAGACAAGGAAACTGTGGTCCAAATGTTTCTAAACAGCAACCACCCACAACAGAAAAATGCCCATGTGTGCGGATGAGAAAGACAAAACAAAGAAAATGTGCAAAGATGTTCTTCATCATTGTCCTTTTTAATAATTAGTCCAGAAGTTGAGTTTTTATTCATGTTGCCGTGCCTGAAA